GTTAAGAAACCCATCTGACCGGCTGCGTTTCCAGCCAACAACTCCAAGGCAGGAGCCGTTATCCTCCCCTGCTGAACACCGGTACGTAGGATGGGTCTGAAACGCCTAAAAACTGGAGCACGTCTTTTTTTATTTACGGCGGCTACTCTGCACAGGGTTAGCAATTTCCATGCGCCACTCCAAGCGTTTCGAGGTAGCCTATCGATTAGGAAGATGAATTAGCAAACCATTAATGGTGGTTTTATTGGGGTGGCGGCCAGGCACCTCGAGGTTAGGCCGGTACCTCTGGCTACAGTACAAACACAAAACACATCCAACAAGCATGAAAAGGCCAGACGGTACAGCCAGCGTGCACCTTTCTAGAAGTTAATGTACCCAAGAGGGCCCCGAGGCCGCGGGTTCACGTTTCGCATGATGCCTCGGCGTGCGGAAGGAACGCTCTGATTACATCCATCACAGAAACGCCAAAAAGACGTCCGGCTTCTAAAACCTCAATTTACGCTTTGACATTTCTGGAAAACCGATTTTTAATCCATGTCATCTATCAGGAGTTCCTGATATTTTATTTTACCTCGATGCTGTAAAATACCGTTGCCTTTATGGAGGTACAGGTGGGGAACGGAACACCGGCGTGACAAAATATTAGGAAGAAAAATCAGTGTCAGGCCATGAAAGCTTCTGCAGATTTTGGAGAAACAGAGCGGCGAAAGACCTGGCTTTAGCTTTTCCCAAAACGCCCGAGTCCAGAAGCACCTTGTCCCCTGGTGCCGGGGCTTTTTCTCCCGTGGTCGTGACAGAATTCAGCCATTTTTAGGCAAGACCAGATCACACCAAAACGTCCGCAGCCATGATCTCGCAGCACCGACGGGCTAAGCGATAACGAACTGCAAACGTGTAGGACGCAGAGGGGAACCGAGGCCCTTCACACGAACCCCAGGTTTCACTTCTGCAGAGGAGAAAAAAGCCCAACGGGTAAACCTTGTTCCTCCAGATGCTCAAATTTGCTTGTTTTTGCATCGATGCAGTGAAATTTTGATGACCCCCAAATGAAAATGAAAGGGGGGGGGGGGGGGGTCAAAGGAGG